AAAAGGCATATATAATATAGTAACGGTGCAGACAAGCTGGTGAATGTTAACCATGTTGAATAAACCTGAGACTGGAACAGAAATGAATGTATAAGTCGAAGGAACAGAAAAGGACAGAACGACGTCTCAAGCATCGTGAGACGACGTCTAAAGCATGAGACGTCGTCCTGTCCTTTTCTGTTCCTTAGACTTATATGTTCGTTTCTGCCCCAGTCTCAAGTTTATTCAACAGGGTTAGGCATATGTAGTTCTCACCTGCTAAAAGTATTGATGCAATAAATCCACCACCATAAGTAAATTTGAGTACAGTGTAGACCGCATATAACGTATGTAACGGGAGTCGCGAAAATCTGCACTATAAGCGGTACCGCGCTATAACCAAAACATCAATTTTTCAGGCCCAAATACATGCCATGAGACACTTACCTTTGTAAAAGAATTTATTTTATGTTAGATGAAAAATAAAGCTTAGTTTGAGGAAAGTCTTTATTTCACCAGACTAGTACAGTTTTGTCTCAAGTGTGTCACACATTTTGAAAGAAATAAGCAGCTTTTGCCTGGCGCAGCCTTTTAACGGCGTAGCGGGTTGCGGACGGACGTTGCGAGCGTTCAGGATTGCTAACCCTAATCACTTTTCTCCGGTGATGAAAACGTGTGAAAATTCGCATCCTTCATACGAAACGCGCCAGTAATACGTTCAACTTGAGCACACGCATGAAATGCGCCAAATAAGAAATCCGGGCGATGTTCGAGGACACAAATGCTTAGAAAGCACCACTGTAGTCGAAGTAAACAAACACGACGACACGGGCGTTTCTGCCGTCTTGAGAGTGCTGCCACGACATCGCCGCACGAGTAGGTGGATCTTCCTTTCTAGTACGTGCTGGGTTGTCATAGCGGCACACAACGAAAATTCACAGTCAAGGATAGCGCTTTTACGCGGAACGATGAGCTTCCACCACGCCATCTACGACGACGATCACAACCGACGCCATGTTTGCGAATAGAAGAAGCCGGCCTGCGACCGGCATGCAAAGCGCGCGAAAACTTCTCCTCGACCTGCGATTGGTCTGTTGTTGCAGTTGTTTTCCAACGCAGCGGAGGGACCCATGCACGTGAACGACACGCGCGTGCGTCCCTCCGTCGCTATGGCAACTGAAGCCTTTCTCTTCGCTGCTCCCCGCTTCTTCGAGCAACCTCCTTGTCCCGCGAGTGCTGCTTGCGGCTAGTGCCGTCAGCGCCGTTATCTAGTGTCGCACAGGGAAGCGTGCTCGCTGCTCCGGTCGTCGGCGCGGTCGGCAAGATGTTCCAGAAACCGCACTACAACCGGTATTTCCCTTCGCGCGCCTGCATTTTAAGCGGTATGTAATTACATGGAGTTCTATGGGAGGTGAACTGGTGGTTTAAAAAAACTGCGTTATACCCAGTTCTGCACTATAAACGGTTACATTGTAAGTGGTCTATCCTGTATTACCCTTCAGACAACAATGAATTGATGCCTCGGTATCTCACGAGACTTAAAGAAGTACGAGTTTCACCACAGCCGAAAGAAAACACAGAAGCCGTAGCATAAAATAAGCACAGGTAAACATGCATGCATGACATTGACAGAAGATGCAAGCCACGATACGGTGTATAGCAGGACCACTTTTGAAATCCGGCCGTGCATCAACTTAAGACGTCGTGCTTGGGCTCACTGATGACTTCTAAGCATGCCCTCTTCTGCAGCGTCTCAATGTTCTTTGTAGACACTCAAATCTCATGAACACATGAAAGGTTACCCAAAAGGGAATGATTAAATGTCCCAAGTCGAGGAACATGCAGTTCCACCCTCTGAGGTCACGGCGGAGAACAGCAGCGACGAGACGGCAGTTGACCTCTGGTAATTAGGGGGTAGCGTCATTTCCTCCGTTATAGAGGTCATATAACGACTTGCAACCCCAACCTCAGAAATAATTAAGATGTTATTTATACAAACGGGTGATTTAAAATGGTATTTTGTAACACAGTGGTTCTCAGCCATTCTGGATCCGTGGAGGGGATGGGGGCCCCCATCCACTAGGAGGGAGAGGGGGTATTGAATGTTTACAATTACAAAGGGGCAAATGAGAAAGAAATGAAAGATGTTCACAATCCCCTGTGATGCTGAATTAGAGCGCAGCTCTTGAGGAGGAGGAGGGGAAGGTATAGACAGGAGGGTATGCCCCTCCTCCTCATACATACCCTTTCCTCCTCTCCTGCTCGATTCCGTTTTAGGGGAATCCCGTTAAATTTAGTGGGGAAAATCTTCCGCTAAATTTACACGGGAAGTTTTTCTGCTTAATTTAGCGGGGAAATTGTTCCGCAAAATTTAGCGGCAAATTGTTTTGCTAAATTTAGCGGAAAACATTTCCCAGCTAAGTTTAGCAAAAAAATAAAGCGAGAACATTTTTCCTCTAAATTTAGCGGAGAATTTTTTCCGCTAAATTTAGTGGGGAAATTTTTCCGCTAAATTTAGCATGGAAAATTTTTTCCTCAATTTAGAGGAAAACATTTTCCCGCTAAGTATAGCGGAAAGGTTAGCGGGTAAATTTTTCCGTTAAGCTTACTGGGAAATTATTTCCGCTAAACTTAGAGGGGAAATTTTTCTGCTAAACTTAGCAGGAAATTATTTCCACTAAACTTAGCGGGGAAATTTTTCTGGTAAACTTAGCGGGAAATTATTTCCGCTAAACTTAGCAGAGAAATTTTTCGGCTAAATTTAGCAGGGAATTTTGTTCCACTAAATTTAGCAGGGAATTCTTTTCCGCTAAATTGATCGGGGAAAGTTTCCCACTAAATTGACAGACAAATTTTTCTGCTAAATTTAGCAGGGAATTTATTCAGCTAAATTTAATGGGGAAACTTTTCCGCTAAATTTAGCAGGAAAGTTTTTCAATGAAATTTAGCGGGAAAAGTTTTCCTACAAATTTAGCTTGGAATTTTCTCCCGCTATATTTAGCGGGGAAAATTTTCTACTAAATTTAGTAGAGGGGGATTTTTTTGGCTAAATTTAGCTTGGAATTTTTTCAGCTAAATTTAGCGGAACTTTTTCTATTAAACTTAGCGGGGAATTTTTTCCTGCTAGTGGGGAAACTTTTCTGCTAAATTGAGCAGGGAATTTTTTCCGCTAAAGTTAGCGGGGAATTTTTTCTGCTAAATTTAGCTGGGAATTTTTCCACTAAATTTAATGGGAGAATTTTTCCACTAAATTTATCACAGAAAATTTTCTCCTAAATTTAGAGCAAAACATTTCCCCGCTAAGTTTAGCAGAAAATAAAGCAGGGAAATATTTCCGTTAAACTTAATGGGAAATTATTTCTGCAAAAGTTAGCGGGGAAATTTTTTTGCTAAATTTAGCAGGGAATTTTTTTCGCTAAATTTAGTGGGAAAATTTTTCCGCTGAATTTCGCAGCAAATTCTTTCCACTAAATTTATGAAATTTTTTCTGCTATATTTAGCCGGCGAAATTTTCCCACTAAGTTCAGCGGGGAAAATTTTCCGCTATAATTAGAAGGAAATTTTTCTGCTGAATTTAGCGGGGAAATTTACTTATAGTGCAATGCGCGCTGACGTTAACTATGATGTCTCTGGTGACCCTTGTGATTTCACACGTGACGTCACGTGTGACATCATCATGCGAAACGCCCCATAATGCACCGCGCAATTACGTCGACGGTGACGCCGCTCAAGCCGCAAATGGGTGCCTAAGAGCTGCGCTTTAAAAACTAAATGTGTGCAAACCAACTTTGGAGCTCTGAAGTAGAATAATCAGCCCTACTAACTTGGCACAAATGGTTTGGTCTATTTAGCTTTGTGGGAAAGCCAGCACCAATAAAAAGAAATGTTTGATTGCCCGGCTTGACTAAGAGTTGAGGGCTTCAGGGACCCCAAGAAGGCCTTCAGGGACCCCATTGAGAACCACTGTTGTAATGTTTTGAATATGGCAGTACGGCATTTGAATAGCTGACTAACCAGGAAGAAAAGAGTAAAAATGAGCAGTCCTATGCTAATTAACAGTACAGTAACAGAAGTCTTTGGGCACTGGTGTCGCGTTCATGCACCGTGGGGTGCATGAACAATAGTGAAAATGGATCTATGACCGTTTGGTTCCAAATGCTTTTGTTTCTTGTTCTATTCCCGAGCACATGAAAGTATGTCTTTTGGTACGAGCTCCCGGCATTGACAGTGCTATAACAGCATGTGCAGTCAGCATCGGGTACTTACAAAGAAAGGCATCACTTTAAACAGGACATTGAGGCAACCTAGTCAAAGCTGCGGCGTAGCTTCATGGTAACGTGCCCGTTTCAAGCGCAGTGGATCCAGGATTCTCGAGGGAGGAGGGCAAACATTTTCAAGGATCTGGCAATATCGACGACGAACATCCAATGGCTACGCCCTACTGCAACTACAACATCAACTACAATGGATGTCATTTCCAGTGGTGAGAAGAGCCCATAGGACCTATCCCTGTAAAAGAGAAGCCTAAGGAGACACCCAACCTCCAGGATCGCCTCCCCCTTCCGACGTTGACGACGCCAGGCCTTCAAGCACTCTGACCTTGACTCTAGGTGGCGGTGATAGAGCGCAGTTGCAAATCTGGGAAGGGCAACTCTACCCTCCATTTCTGCTACATTCTTTACTCTATCTGGGCAAAACCTCCACCTCCCCACTTACGTAGACCGATGCCATGGAAGACAAGCAGACACAGCTATCACTAGATACCAATGAAACACAGTGCAATCACAAATCTTTAAAGGACAGCTCTGCCCTCTCCACTTGTGCTACGTTTCTCCAATCTGCTGGAGCTCCTCTCCCCAATCCGACTCTTAGGGGGAGCGATGCCAAGTCAAGCAAGCAGATAAACATGCGACAGCTGAGTTAGCTTCAGTTAGAATGCAATGCTGCATCACAAACAGTTTGGCAAGGCTCAGTCAACGAAGGGCCTAGCTTGGTGTGAGCGGCAGACGAAGCAGACCCACCTGCCTGCCCTTCTGGACGACTCGGTTGGGGCAGTCGTTACTGCACTTGCAGCGGCTGTTGCACTCCCAGATGGCACATCCCCGGTTCACCACCAGGGTGCCGTGCCTGTTGTACATGAAGGTGGTGTTGGCGAGCTGCGGGCAACACTGCTCCTTGCCGCTGTAGCAGTCCGTGCACTGGCAGCCTACTTCGGGCTCCTTTGGGAACACAATCCCCTGCCCTGGCAGGAAGTCCTGGAGTGAATGCACAGACCAGAACGCAAAACTGATGGAAGGGTAAAATATTGTCCGTCTCTTTGGGCTTCCCAAAGGCATTCTAAGAACGCACATTAATATGCTCACATCTGCCCGAACCACAGCCTGTCGCACACATTACACAAAACAAATTATACGAGAATTGGAGCCTGAACTGCCGGTCTGCAGCCGTGTAATGGGAACTGGCTTCCAGATGCTGCTGGGCCAGTGCTCTCAGTTTGCCATCTTCTTCCTCAATCCTCCTTCAGCTTGCTGTGCCTGTCATTGTCGTTCCTGCACTGCCTTGGTGGTACACAAAGCCCGCAACAAAGAGCCTCAATTGTTCTCATTGCCGCCGAGCGCTGTCTAACAAAAGTCCCCTCTCCAAGAACGGTCGTCAATTGCACAAAAAACCGGCAATCGGCGGCTGCACGCTCTGCACTGCAACTGAATGCCTTTCTACGTCAAGGCTGCATCCAAGGCTCGGACATAAAGATGATATGCAGTTAAATTTGTTCCTTTCTCGCACTATTGTGGTGAGGCAGTAATAATATATTTTGAGTGAGCCACAAACAGCTTGACGCCCCCTTAGTGCTGCACTTATCAAAATGAAGCAGTATCTCGATTGTTTCGACACAATAAAATAAATAAAAACTTAGGACAAAACAATGATAGCAACAGACTTTCTCAATTTACACACTTCATAAAAAATATCTAGGCTAACATTTGCACAAATCTGTTCAAAACAATTATATGTCAATTGAAGATGTGTCATGAGTGCTGCATGATATATACAGCTGGTGAATCAATTATACTATTTTTGATCTTATACAGAAACATCAATCCACGGGCCGTTCCTCTGTTGTATGTGTCCCATTCCGTGAGGTCATAACAAGGTTTGACCTGTGATGCACACAATGTAATCTGAGTTGCTTAATTTTGATGCTGCAGAGACAAACTCGGTACGCAATTTGAGCCTAGAGAATGTAAACGTGCTTAACGTTTACAAATAAGGGCTCCGTCAAAACCAGTGCTCGAGCAAAACACGAAGTTTGTACCTCTTGTGGTCAAACACCGCGTTGTGACCCCGCTATTTCGCGCCTTGCCATCTCCTCTAAAGAAGTGCTCGTTCTTTCCTTCCTTGCCCCCTGTGCATTCTTCCACCACGTGTTTGAACACACCCTCTCAACACCTCCAAGACAATGAGGCTATACTGGTGAATTTCCAGTCACCCCCCCGGAGGCCGGAGTGGGGCACAGATTAAACACGAGTGCTACACCAATACGAGCGTTCTGGGACCAGCGTTCGTGCAAAAGTTTTTATACAAAAATCAAGGACTTGAATTTCGAGGGTATCGAAAAGAAAAATTTGAGGCAATGCAAAACAAAAGTGGCGATGACACGGGAGATGCTTTGGATTGGATTGAAGCACCCTTTAAAAAACGGGTGCCTCTTGCACGACGCAATCATGATGACGATTTACGCGAGTGTCGGCGGCTTCGCAATGAAAACTGCAAGATACAATCCTAGCCTGAATAAAGCTGTCAGATATGCTTTTCGTGCTTGGAGCAAAGCACTTAGAAAAAAAATGATGCATTTTCCAGTGGCCAGGGCTTGATGACAATGCATCTAGAAGCAGAAAAAAGTATGCCACCATGTTGGTTGCCAAAGCAACCGGGCAAGCGCTTTTCTCCCGCGATAATGTTGTGCACGTCTACACGCATCGCTGAGGCTCAGATGAGTCAAGAGAAGCAAAGCATCTCCCCAATCACGTAAATAAATGGTTCCAGAGAGAGCGCCCCACTCTTTCTTTTTGGTAATGTAATCCGACCGCCCGCACTCCAGAGTTTGTGCTTCCATGTATGCCTCCCGCAAGCGAACCTCTCAAACCGCCTTGATCTGCAGAAACAACTCAATTTCTGGATTTTCAAGAAATACAAGGATTGTTGCAACTTTCAAAAAGACTTAAAGGGGCACTGACACTCCAAAGGTTGTATTTTTTTTATTGTGTAAAACGATGCAAGTTGGTCATAGACACGCAAAAAAATACCACATCTCAAAAAAAAGAACTTTTCTGCGCACGTGTTTTTTTTTTTTTTTTTTTTTTCTCTATTGCTTCTCACCTCCTTCCTTCTGATTTCTGACGTCAAAATCATGAAACTTAGAAGCTTTGTAGCCAACATTTCTATAACATTTAAAAACGGCAATCGTAAAACATGCTTTTTAACGCAACCGTGAATGCCCTACGGCCCTTTTTGAAATACCGAAAATCGGAGTCTGCTGTGATGTCGCATCCTGAATTTTCATCCTCCCTCGGAAAACATGGCGACGCTCGACGCATGTAGCACGTAGAGGGTGATCGGTGAGTCGGACGAAGTGGTCTTTTTTAGGTGCCCGACGACCTCTCAGACTTCGAAAAGGAAATCGTCAAACGGTCAAAACAACTGGGTTTGGTGTCTGTGTATCATACTTTCGGTTGTGACTCCGTCGATTCAGCGTCTTCTGCGCACGCAGGAAACCAGTTCCCCGGTACGCCAGCGCCCTTCTCTTCCTCACCTCACCTCCTCGCTTCGGGTCGCGGAGACACGTTTCGGAGCGGACGCAAGAAACAAACTAGACTCACGGGACCCCTCATATTTGACGTCACTCCACTGGCGCGTTCGTGCGGGAACTTCAAATTCGGCATTTGGAAATTGCTTTTTTACTTCACAAATACTGAATTCCCATGTTTCGAATCCAGGCATCGTTTTCAATCGTTTCGCATAATAAAAAAAAAAGATTTTGATGTGTCAGTGTCCCTTTAAGGGCCCTTGAAAGGCTTTTATCAAAATCTCTGGTATTCCAGGTTTTCAAGAAGCTCCATGAGCCCTCGTGTTCGATCCGCAAGGATGTGAGATCCAGTCAAATGTTGATACAGCACTTGAGTGATGCCGCTCTGCTACAGAAGTGTGTTACGGAAAGTGTTTGAAGACAGCCACATTATATATTTTCTGTTAAAGGGGCCCTGCAATGACCTTTTTACTAATTTTTAATTTGCACCGAACCTGAGCGCACTGAACATAGTAACTTAGTGAAACTTTTCTTTTCTCGAAATTCCCTTTATTTTAGAAGTTATAGGCAAATTAAAATTACAAAAACAAGCAAAAAATAACCTCCCTCATGACGTCCTTGGTTGCTTGAGAGTGGCCGTGAACTAGAGGAGAAGTAGTGGGCTCATCGAGCGCTCACGGCTGCCGCACTCCGAGTCGACGGCGCGAGAGGGCGCCATTGAAGCGTGTTCGAGATAGGATGTATGCAGCGGGCAGCCAGAGCGGCTCTCATTGCATTTGCTGCGCGATTAAAGGCTAATTCGGCATGACACTTCATTGGCCAGAAACGACAGCAAACACGGGGTAAATATCAGTTTAGAATGGGAGCTACTTTGCGCTGCCACACCGCGAAACGGCCAAAACGCAAGACAAAGCTTCCCGCCGAAGGCCTTCGGAACGATCGGAGCCGGTCGGATGCTCCTGCCCAAAACGACCGCAGCGCCGCCGCGTACATCCGGGACCTTTCCGTGTCGGCGCCTGATCCCACTACTCTTTTCTAGTATGCGCCGCCTTTTCCACCGGTTGGTGGCGGGTATGTCGACGGGTCATTTCTTGTTTCCGTACTTTATAAACTGCATTTCTTTCTTTTTTTTCATCTATAATAGTGAACAAAAACTACTTTTATAAATAATTGAAACGGTTCGCGCCACTTATATTTTGTATTTCGACTAAAAAGAAGCTTTTAGCGGCTCTGACCAGTAGTAAGCCCAGGACCAAAGACGTCAGATTTTGCGCGCTTTTGGTACCGTGGGTTGCCCTCGTCGGTGGACGAGGTTTCCGCGTCGTCCGGTTAAAATATGACGCACTGATATTTAGTTACTCTCTCCATGCCTGCTGGCTTGCCTGAATCCCAAGAGACGTGGAAACCGCAAAAAAGGTGGACGCTTAAATATGATTGCAGGGCCCCTTTAAGAAATTTTAAAAATACTCATGGGTTCACTTTAGTTTTCTGATGCTATGTGGTGCACGGACACCCTTCAGGACTAATTCTTGCTGGTAGCTTAAAGGCCTGTGTTTAATTTTAGCTGCACTCTGGAACATTTTAAAGTTTAGTTGAATTATAAAATACTATAGTCAGTCGCAAGCTAAGAAAAAACCGGAAATGCCTCTCAAAGATAGATGCTCCGAGAAACGCCAGCCAATCGTTTTCATGACGTCACGATTCCGTCCACCAATCGCGATCCTTTTGAAAAAAAAAAAGCTCAACATGGCTGCTGGCCTTAGCAACGCAACGCTAGTTTCTTGTGACAATTATTCTGCTTTTTTGCATCGTGTTTTACGTGCCCGAGGTTACGCCACGAAATCTTAATGGTATCGGCTTGCGTTTGCAGTAGTTTTTGCGCGACAACGTGAGAATCTAGCGACGCTATCGCCAACAAAAATTTCGAAGCAGGCGCGAGGCCTACCACTGCTGAGAGGTATGTTAGACGGTGTTAGACAGTATCTTGGACAGAAAATGAATTGGGAAGACGGTACATTGGACATGACTTTCTTTCTTTACTAAACAGCTATTTTGTTGACAAAAACATATTCTAACTTATTTAAATGTCCTGAATGAATTAAATAAATATTGTAGTAGTTTAAGACATGTTTCCTGGAGGAAGAAAAAGCAACGTTGCTAGTGAACTACTTTCTCGACGGCGCAGGCACTTCAGATGGGTGCAATGCGCTTGTGGGTGGAGCTAAAAGATTGTTCTCAGGTTGCATCCCACTATAGTGTTGCATCAACATTGAAGTTTTCTAATAGTAGTTTAGAATAATATGCTATTCAATATATGCGTCGAGGTAAAATGCGTTATTCATACTTATCGAAGTGCCGATCGCGGTGAGTCAGCCCTGTTGAGTGCACTTCTCACTGAGCATATGTGCACTGCAGGAAAGCAATGCCTGCGAAGACCACGAACTCCGCGGG